CCCTGGCCAGTCCCGCGGCACCCCCCACCAGCTCTGCTTCCGGTGGCCAGTTCTCCCCTCCTCCTGAGCTCCCCCAGCCAGATCCGCCCCTGCCGGCTGTCCCTTCCCCTCCCTATATCCCCTCCCTATATTAACTCCTGCTGCCCCAGTGTGGGACCGGGACACCCTGTTACATCCCAACATAAACACTGTCCACACTCGGTGTGCTTTGTGATGTAGAATCCTAACAAAGAAGTCCTGGTGTATTCCTGGCCGACCTGGGGCTGCAACACACTTGTATCATCTGAGGCCTGGCCAGGGAGGTTCCCCTCCCTATATCCCCTCCCTATATTAACTCCTGCTGCCCCAGTGTGGGACCGGGACACCCTGTTACATCCCAACATAAACACTGTCCACACTCGGTGTGCTTTGTGATGTAGAATCCTAACAAAGAAGTCCTGGTGTATTCCTGGCCGACCTGGGGCTGCAACACACTTGTATCATCTGAGGCCTGGCCAGGGAGGAAAACCTCTAGTATAGGCTCAATTACATGGGTTACAATAACAAATAGAGGCAGCGTGAAAGCAGGGGTGAGTTAGAATCCTAGAACTGGAAGGGACCTCGAGAGGCCATCGAGTCCAGTCCCCTGCCCTCACAGCAGGACCCAGCAGCGTCTAGATCGTCCCTGAGAGGTGTCTGTCTAACCGCGCAAAGCCTCAGAAGCGCGGGAACCCGCCCGGTGCCCCTGGTCTGCTGGAGACGGTCTCCAGCAGACCAGGGGCACCAGAGCAGCTTATGAATGGGGCTTTCTCGCCCCGACCTCCGGGGTGAGAAAGCCCCGTTCGTAAGTGCGGATCCGACATAAGTCGGATCCGCGTAAGTCGGGGACTGCCTGTACTTGAAAACTGCTACCTTGTCCCCTCTCAGTCTGCTCTTTTCTAAACTAAACAAGCCCAACTCTTTCAGTCTTCTCTCGTAGCTCATGTTTTCTAGACCTTTCATAGTTGTTGTTGCTCTTTTCTGGACCTTCTCCAATTTCTCCACATCTTTCTTGAAATGCCCAGAACTGGACACAACACTCCAACTGAGGCCTAACCAGCGCAGAGTAGAGCGGAAGAATGACTTCTCGTGTCTTGCTCACAACACTCCTGTTAATGCATCCCAGAGTCATGTTTGCTTTTGCAACAGAGTCACTTTGTTGACTCATATTTAGCTTGACCCCTAGATCCCTTTCTGCAGTGCTCCTTCCTAGACTGTCACTTCCCGTTCTGTATGTATGAAACTGTGAATGGGAAGGGCTACACGAAATAGCTTCCGGCCCCTTGACCCAAGAGGAACTGATAAATACTCATTTCAAGTGGTCTCAATATGTGTATATCTATCTATATAAAACTATTTAAAAAATCACAAGTCAGTCATATAGTCATCCTGACGGCGATCCGTTCTGGGGCTGGAAGCCAGAGATGCAGGTTGTAACAGCTGTTCCTAAGGCCTTATCATCAGACGGACTTGTACTCGTTTAACTCCAGGTGTGATTTTTTAAACAGCTTTAAACAAGAGTAAGTGGAGTGGGGGAGTGAGGGGCGAGGGGCTAACTTTTCCAAACTTGGCTCTCTGCTAGAGATTTAAATACAAACAAGTGTCTTCCCATACAAAACTAGCCTAACCTGAGAGACGGAAATTTCCATCCCCTCCCTTTGTCCTTGCCCCCAGGCTTGTGCTCTGCTTGTGCAGTTTTGCTACATGGCACCTGGTTGCATTTCCCGGTGGAAGGCGCATTCAAATCTCCAGTTCATGGAGATGGGAACACTATAAAGTGCCCTTAAAATTCTGCTTTGTGATTTTTTTTTTTTAGTTATTATTGTGCCTGAGGGAGAAATTCTTCCAGCCTCCCATCTGTTGCCCCTGAGATCTCGGGGCACAATGGCGCTAGTGTTACTCTGCAGCACAAGATGGGCAGCACCTGGAGAGACTGCAGATGTGCCGTAGAGAGCTCTGCCTAACGGGGCTAGACCGGGGCCGGGTGACGTCACTGTACGGATTGCCCATGGAACAGGGTCAGGCAGGCTTGGCCGTGGTGTGTTTGCAAGCGCCTCCTCTGGGTGCAAATCATCAATAACATTGGCCCGCGAGGACACTGAGCCCTCGCTACCCAGCTAAGGATCCAGTGCTCCGGTGCGATGCAGCACAGCCTGAGATTTGCCGCTTCACACACTATGGATTCCCTGCCCTTGTCACATTCATTTGATTTATTGGCGTAGCAGCTAGGAGTCATGGACAAGGACCATCTTGTGCTAGGTGCTGTACAAACATAGAACAAAACCATAGCTTTGGGGGGAGAGATAGCTTGGTGGTTTGAGCATTGGCCTGCTAAACCCAGGGTTGTAAGTTCAGCCTCTTGGGGGAGTGCATTTAGGGATCAGGAGCAAATCTGTCAGGGGTGGTACTTGGTCCTGCTGTGAGAGCAGGGGAGTAGGCTCAATGACCTCTCAAGTTCCCTTCCAGTTCTATGTAGGGTTACCAGATAGACCTCCCCAAAATACCAGACACACTTGATCCTGGGTAGGGGGTGGCTGGGAGCTGCCTCTGCACACAACCAGAGGGTCCTAGCTAGGAGGCAGGGCCATGATTGGCACTGGGGGCCTCTGGTTGTGGGAAGTGGGGCAGGGAGTCCCAGCCACTGTCCCCACTCCACTTGGCTTTTGCACAGCGCTCCCAGCACCAATCACGGCCCCACCTCCCAGTTGCTCCCCCACCTCCGCCAGGCACATGTCTGGTATTTTCTGAATTTTTCTACCAGGCAGAGAGTGCAAATATCGGACTGTCCGGTAGAAAACCAGACACCTGGCAACCCTAGTTCTATGAGATGGTATATCTCCATATATTGTATTAGTCCTGCCCTTCCCACAGTAATTTTTGTTCTAGGCTATCAGGGACCTTTGTGAATACTAACGAATCGAGCCTTAGAACATCCCCCCCTCTTAGACAGTGGGTGAGTAAGGGTTGGAACAAATCTGTGGCCCCCAAGGGCAGGTGTAGTAAGACGAAGGCTTAAAACAAAAGCCCATGTAGCACAGGCCTGGTTTGAGGCCTGAGGCCTAGCTAACAATGGGCAAAACATGGCTAACATAAAGCGAAGCGAAGCTGGGAGCAGGAGGCAGGCTCCTGCTCACAGAACTTGGCACAAACAAGGCTAAGAGAGCAAAACACTCATTGGCCCAGATGTAGAACAGTCCTTGGTACTGGTTGTAAGCGGAAAGCACATGGTACCACCAGGTCATTAAAAAAGACCTTGGTACCCACTTCCCACAGCTACTCACCCAGGTTCAGGAAAGGGTCTAAAATAACAGCATGATGGGCAGAGATGATCTAATCAAACCACAAGGAACAGGGCGAAGGGTGGTATCGAAGACGCGTCACAGGATGACAACACCAGAGGGTGGCAACCTGACACGTCAGCAGCGAAGTGTAACTTGTTTGTACCTGTCTATACCGTGGTGTCTTGGGGGGACAGTCTTTGGATGACCTAGGGGACAGTGGGAGTTTCCCATTAATGAAGTTATTCCATTGTTACGAATTGCATGTGCGTAGTGGTTCGGTAGAGTCTCCTGAAACGATCACCGGTCTTTGCTTAACAATAAACCCGGCTGGGCACCTTTGATCCTTATCTGATTTGTTGTCGTTGGGGGCTCTCTTGGGGTCTGCTGTGGGGACTACATGCACAAGTCGACACGGCACACACCTGCAAGCAGCCTCCTGGTTATCGTCATCGATGGAGCCAGGGACCTGTGAGGCCACCTCGGCAGTAAACCCTGGCTAACTGCAGCAGGTACGTCTTGGCTGTTGCTGGACCGCACTCCTAGGTTGCTTAGAACATCGCAAGGGTGATCTTACATCTACCTGCACCAAAGGGCCCTGCCACATGGGGCTTATAACACACAGCTGAGTCTGTCTAGTATTAGCGACAAGGAGTCCCATAGCACCCTATAGACTAACAGATGTATTGGAGCATAAGCTTTGGTGGGTAAAGACCCACTTCATCACACGCATCTGCCCATGAAAGCTTATGCTCCAATACATCTGTTAGTCTATACTATAAGGTGCTACAGGACTCTGTTGCTTTTGCACATCCAGACTAACATGGCTACCCCTCTGATACTTGTCTAGTGCTACAATCCTAGGGCTGGAAGAGACCTCACAAGGTCACCCAGTCCAGCCCCCAAAAGGCAGCTACCAGAAGCAGGGTTCGAACCCACACGCACCCATTGGATTTTAAGTCCAACACCTTAACCACTTGGCCATCCTGGTGCGCAGTTTTGAGGGCTACCTTTACTCTGTAGTGTTATTTCGGGATACTGGTGGTATCCTCAAATAGCTAGTCCACGTCTTCATAGCAAGCCCATTATTTCAAAATATAACAGGCTCGCTATTCTGATGTCCCTGTAAATCTCATTCCACAAGGAGTAAGGGGCATTTCGGAGTAGCAGTTTATTTTGAAACTAGCCAATTAGCCCGTCATAAGACGGGATTTTCAGGTCTTCTCTCCTGAGCTTGCCAATTAGCCCGTCATAAGACGGGATTTTCAGGTCTTCTCTCCTGAGCTTTCTTCTTTCCTGAGCCTCCAGTCTCTCACATTGTCTCTCTCTCTCTCCTCCTCTTCTTCCTACTGCCTCCCCCCCCCTCAGCTCTCCTCCATCTCCTGCCTCTCTCTCTTTCTCTTCTCCTCCCCCTCCTGACTCTCATTTGGTGGACCGTGGAGCCCAAATGCCCATTTGGGCTCTGCGCTCCCTGTGCTGCATGGGAAGTATGAAGCCCAAAGGGTCGCTTGCGCCACTTGCTCCCACATGGCGGCCCAGCTGAGCGGCACAGAAGTCAGCTGAGCGCCACTGGGAGAGGCGAAGGAGGGCGGGGTGGTGACATTCACGGCAAGGGGCAGGGCCTGGAGCCGCTGTCACACCCCATGTCAACACCCTGCCCC